AACTACTGGGAAAACTTTCAAAATGGCATCTGAACTGATACAAAAGGAGATTTTTCTCTTGTAATCCCTGGAAGAAAATTCTTCTGATACCATCTGAGTCTGTTCTGCTTGCCCGAGGCGAGCAGCTCCTGCACTTGACTTCGATCGCAGTAAGCTCTGAGCGGGTACCAGCCAGTGTAGTGGTGCGCTTCAGCGTTTCTCAACACCTTCTGAACAATAGTAAACGGGGCAGTAACGCGATATCACCTTCATTTACAGCAAATCCAGAATACCAGGTAAACACAAATCTCTATTACCGCTGAAAACACGTCTGAAATGCATAACCGTTAATGTCATTTAAAGAGTTTAATATCTGCATACGTACCTACTCTGCAATTTTCTCAGAGATGAAATGAAAAAAATAAGGTATATGAAATAATCGATCTCTTTTATGATCGTCTTTAATTTAAATAATTTCCTTCAAGTCCGCCCCCCCACCCTCCCCAAAGCAATGTTACTTAAAATCTGCACATATTACCTTATGTTGTTTTCCAGTCACATCATTAGGGAATACTGAAAAATCCTTTTCAGTTCTGCTCTGCAATATGAGTGCACACGCTCACAGTGCCTCTGTTTTTCTTTCTCATGCTTTCTTAATGAGACAAGTAATTGATTGATTTTAATATACATGACTGATTGTTTCTCCATTGTTTTGTGAGTGAAAAGATTTCTGGGTAAACTGACGTTCCTACCGCAAAGTGGGACGAGCTAATTATATCTGACCACATAAAAATAAATGTTATATGTTTTAAAGGAGTCAGAGTTCTCCCAGAAGAATTGATCTGTTTACTATAAAATTACTTAAGGGAATTGCATTTTTGAAAAAATTCTAACAGTACGATAACTGTACTGATTTTGGTGTTGTGGGAAATAAACTCACTTCATAGATAGATTCTCAAACGATGCAACTTACGATTTTAATTCAGAGGCAGTGTTTTCTCCGCTCGGTGAGGGATTCAAATGTCGATTGTCCCCAGTTCTTGGATGAAGCAGCCGTGCAAGTGCACTATATGCAATTTTTTACGCTTCGCTGATATCAAAGCAGTGGTAATGAATGCTGAGAACTATTTAAATTTATCATTTGTAAAGCAGTCACTTATAAAAGCCTAGACGATTTACAAGGGCCATGCTGGGTTTGTTTAACTTTAAAATTGCACACACAGAGCAAAATAACTTCTCCTAATCGCGATGCCTGTGCAGTTTTTGTTAATGTTTCTTTAAGAATTAGAATTACACACTTAGGCTATACGTCGATGTTAATAAAATCTGTCCACAAATGTTTTGCCTTTCATAATACACACCATGTCCAAATATTTTACCTGTAGACCTAAGCCCAGTCTTCTGCAATCTGGAGACAATTATATAATGGGCATTGGGTTTATTGATTTCTAATCATTTGCCCACTCCTATTGTAATGATAATTACAAAAGAGCGCTGCTTCAAAAATAGGGCTGCATGGCATTTCCGTCTATTACTAACCATGTTTTGATCTAATTATTCAACACATTTATATCATACAGAATCTACAAAAAAAGGCATAAAGCTTGATGTCGGTGTTATTCAAAGGTCTGCAGAGCTCACAACATTGGGTACGGGACAGAACGATTTACCTAAACAGGAATTAAATCGTTCCATTAGGATAATATACTAAAGGATCAGAACGTATTAAAATCGTTCTTGGGGATGTAACGAGCTGTCCTTGAGTTGATCAGCCAGGCGTTGTTCGTTATTAATAGGGACGGAGAGGCAACGATTTTATTTCAATAATGGATGCCATTCATTTTGATGTTATTTTACCCCGCTACAGTTCGGAAATATTCAGTATATCTCATATATTTGGAATGCAAACCGGATGGTGTGTAACCAGGCGATGTTCTTTTATGGGGTATCAGATTACTTCTCCAATGTACAAACAGTTAATACCGGAATTTGTTACACGACATCTCTGCTCTTTTGTGTCAACGAAATAAAAAGACTTTCGCAAACACAATTGCCCGGGCCAAAAAAAGAAGAGATGTTGGAATTGAGTGCTCCTTCTCAAAAATAACTTGATAATGCTTTCACCGACAAAGGCTCCAAAAGATCTGAGTCTGTCTTACAAATTGCACATATATGTCGCGCTCTGATCCTGCCAGCTAAACTAACCCTTTTCAGACTTTTGTTCTTTTATGAAACGTCACAGAAACGTGACCTCGAGTTCATTACACTGCAGATTTGAAACGACTTGGGGTTCCATGTCTAAATAATCACTTCCCACTACACATGAATTAACACGAATGAAAACGGAACAGTTTGTTGAACGTTGGGAACATAAGCATAAAATTGTCTTTAGTTATATTATGGAGATAATTTGTGCTTGGAAAGCTTTGTCTCTTTTTTGTGTGTGCCTCTTAAATAAATATTCATGCCAATTTCAAAACAAAACCTCACCAGTTCTTCCCTTCAATCGCTGCCAGGAAATAGGCAATCGAGAATATTTTTCAATTATTGCGCCTCCTTATGCACTAAAATTAACAATGAAGTGATTCTCTATCTGTCTGGCACTGTTGTCCAAATCAAATGCACAAATAAGAAACCTGCTGCCGTTATTTGCAAGTATAACATTTCTAGACGTCTCAAAAAAGGAATGCAAAGCTTTTTTATACAACATACATATATTTGGCACGAATTGCCCACGGTGGGTTAATGTCTGCGCACGGAGTTGCCATCCTCATACACAGTACCTAGTCCACGATAAATCGGTGAATTACAGTGCACAACATATGCGTAATGAGAACATTTTGTGCACTGGCGTGAATGTTTTGTTTTGAATCGTGATTAAACGGCCTGATCCATGCTCATTTGAACATGCACAGTGGCGATTATGGCATCTGCGCATTACGCCGAGTAAATGCGAATTGCGTGTATTTATCAGTAATCAGGTGTAACGTGCTGTAACCAACAGCAAGGCAGCCGGCCACCGATGGACGGATCGAATATACGTCCGCACTAAATACAGTATAAACGGCTATAACTATCATGTAACACGGGAAATACTATGACGGATGAACGTGTATATGCATGCGCCAATTCTATGTCACACATTATGTTTCGCCAAAGCGAACTAGGTGTTTAAAACCAAACTATTGTATTATAATCTAAAGTTGCAATGTTGGATGACGCTTTACAATCGGTGATTTCAAACGTTTTTCCTCGTTGTCCCTTTCTTCGCCCAAGAGTTTGTTCACTTTCAGCTACCAAAATTCAACTTCAGAAAGTGCAACAGATCAAGTTTCAGATGTTATATCAACACCTTAAATGCCTAAGCTGTTAATTACTTAATAACCCCACAGTGCCAATGTATACTTTACCTCTGATTTCTGATTTTAAATCAGAGATTTTACAGCATAAACTGTAAGAAACTATGGAAAGATGGGTAAAATATGTAACTGTGAGTAAATACAACATGTTTAGTTTGTTATGCTGTAAAGGTGATAAAACCAAGATAGAAAATGAAATGACTAATTAAACAGCTTCATTCTGTTCCCATTAGCAGTTGCTTTGTCAGGCACTTGTCAGCCCACCCTTTTAACTGTGAACTTAAGTCTACAAAGTTAATCCACCCTGTATATCTTTCTAATTACCCTACAAGACAACAGGTAAGGTATCTGCTCTCTCCAAAAATGAACCATACAGCTTGGTACGTTACTGCATCCGAATCGCTAAAATGCAGATTAATAAGGCTGACATATGTGCTTTCCAGAAATGATGTCGGCTTGTAAAAATAACACGCAAACCTGCTGCTTCTATTTTTGTTTTTGATTTTATTTAGCAGTTAACAAAACTGATACAACATCCTAAGAGGAAAAACGTATAATTCGTTTCTTAATCGTGTTGGTTTGTGAGTCGTGCTGTCGATTGAACACAATCGAAAACAATCGCTCAAGAAAGTTTTAAGAGGTCCTAATATTTGGACATTTTTTTAAAAAAAAGATACATACTTCAATCAGCAGTCTACACAAAATACATTCCATTTAATCCATCTGGCAATTTATAACCATTACTACCAATCAGATAAAGTTGCCTTTACAAAGAAAACGACAGAGATATCCTTCCCCAGGCGACAGCGAGACTCAACGTTTACTGTAGTCAGCATCTAAATTCTGGATATCGCCTCATTAACAGCACGGATTCTGAGCTTTAGACTTATGCAAAGAGACCTTTACCTATTGTTTGGCTTTATTTGGGTACCTAGTTTCTGAAGCTGTTTCTGGGAAAGATTAGCGCAGTTCATAAAGGTGACCCGACCTAGAAGATGTTAACTTACCAAAACCCACGTCTTTTACTTGGACAAAAGAAATAAAAGTCTTCATACCAGAAAGAGGGGAATAGAAGGACATTCTTAGTTAAGGTATGAGGCACCGAGTAAACCTATCACCCAAAGGTAATGGGCTGTTTTCCTCTGTGCGGACACAACGTTGCATTCAATTTAGATATGCTATAAATTAAGCGTTTCTATGGTAGCGTGTCTCTGATTGGGCAGTATATCCTGTACGTGGCGGCAAACGTCATCAAATCTGAATAAGGATGCGCGAATTACAGCTTCGTACACAAAGATGATGGAGACAGCATGAGCGCCCGAGAAAAGTCCCATTCCAGCCCAGCTAGGATGATTTTGAGTTGATTGCTGAATGTGTAAGGATAGCTTCAAGAAGCAGGATGAGCTGCTAGCAGGCGCATCCCAGATTAAAAGAGGATTATTTTGCATTTTCCAGTTCCTTCAAACTTCAGGGAGAAAAAGAAAACGCAATCGCACCCAAAGTGCGCAGCTTCAACAGAAGGGATAACGCAGCAGCGGCGAATCTGACAAGAGTAACTTGAACGGAGCAACTGGATTTTTGAAGTGCAAGCTGCAGTCACTCGAAGTAACGTTTTTTTTTTCCAAAGGAAAAGGCAAGATTGTGTTCCTGAAGCAAAGCACGATGGTGCACTGTGCAGGTTGTGAGAGGCCTATTTTAGACAGGTTCCTCCTAAACGTGCTGGACAGAGCGTGGCACATCAAGTGCGTCCAATGTTGTGAATGCAAGTGCAACTTGACTGAAAAATGCTTTTCAAGAGAAGGGAAGCTTTACTGTAAAAATGATTTCTTCAGGTGAGTTCGATGAAGTTCCGTACTCGGTTTCAAGCGGCAAGGATCCCTGTTAACTATTGACTCCGTGTAATTTTGAATCTGAAGCTCAATAGACATTTGAAGACTGTCCCCAGTTAGTGTTTCATCTATTCGCGCACACACATACATACACATGCACGCACACACACAACGATTGCCGGGCGGAGTTTAAGTAAAATCTTACAACATAATCAAGAAATTCGTAATTAAATAATAACAGCAAAAAAAAAGTCAAGGGAACACTGATTGACATTGATCCTAGTGCAGGCCTACACAGAGCTTAATTGGGGCCACAAAACTTGCTTAATGTATTTGGTTGCTAGACGCAACAATCCAAATTGCTTTTACCCGGGAATGCGATAGAGAAGTCAGCGATGTCACTCTGTTTAATCAAACATCCGTAACGCTTATTCCCAGCCAGTCTGACGGTTCATGCTCTCAGTGCAGCTAATTGTTTCCGGGTCTACTCAACGTTCCGTGCACCTTCCAAAACCCATAGTGAACACGAAGGGCATTGAAACGAGGCCTTCAGCTAAATGGTAGGCTGCAGTGTGTGACCTGCAGTGGCGCATGTCGAAAGTTGGGCAACTTTAAGGGTTTCAAGGAGTGCCAGCTGATTGTAGTTCAAATGCTCAGCATTATGGTCTTATTTTTGAGGGAATGATGGCATAACATAAACGCTTGTTATTTGTTTTATATAAGTATAAACTCCAGGTGTACGGAAATAACAATAACCACAGGCCCTAACCGACTTGTACGTAGATAGGAAAATTAGAATCTTCCTGTCCATGACCCATTCTCATTGCAAACAACGATTCGTTGAAGGTTCCTAATATAGCAACACTTTAGAAGTGTTTAATGATTCCGTTAAACTGCAAATGAACCAATTACACATCGAGGATAAAACAAAGCTGACTTATGATCTCTAATTATTTTACTAAATCAATGTCATTGTCACTAAAATCGGCCGAAATGGCAGCTGTGGATTGGAGGCTGCGGAGATCATCGCGGGGATGGTCCCGGACCATACATGACTTCTGGTATTCTGGCCTCCGGGAAATACAGATTGGAGGCTGCTGACCTCTCCTAACCAACACCAGACCCCACCCCGCAGTGTTTCTGACCTTGAAACTGTGATTTAAAACAGTTAAAATCGAATAAAAGAAAACTTTCGCCCAAGAGATTAAGTTCACAAGTATCTTCTCACATAACTTCCTCCGTGAGTGTGGTGCATGCATCAATGTACACTGCAGCGCTCTGGTGAAACCCAATGGGCTCACCTCTAGGGCCACAGGGTTTTTGAGGTTCTAACTTCATTTACTAATATGAACTATTTCAAGATTTATTCTTAATCATGGCTGATTGCCGAATTTCCATTCTGTACCAATTATAACGGGTTTTAAAATCTGTTCAACGTTTAAATTGTTTTTGTTTTGTTCTTTAAAAAGGACAGGATATTTTCACAACAAGCACTAAACTGTGAGGTGCAAGCGAGCAAGATTTGAATGCAAATGCGATCTTCCTTTGATTCTTCCTGAAACTCGTTATATTCATTACAGAAGGAGCGTCGCTGAAGTTATCTGGTTCGCTTCCGAAAAGCGAAGCTGCACTGTCAGTTCGCAGAAATGCTTCCAATTATTAAGTCCTCGTGACTGCCTTAATTACATCATTTTTCTTCTGTGAGATGGTAAAGGCTTACTTAATTATGGAGGTGATATATATTTACATGGCGCCCATTTCTGTTTACAGGCGGTTCGGTACGAAATGTGCGGGATGTTGTCAAGGCATCTCACCCAGTGACCTCGTAAGAAAAGCAAGGAATAAAGTGTTTCACTTAAACTGCTTCACTTGTATGGTTTGTAATAAACAACTGTCAACTGGAGAGGAACTGTATATAATCGATGAAAACAAATTCGTGTGCAAAGAAGACTATTTGAACACCTGCAGTTTAAAAGATACCAATTTAAATTCAGGTAAGAGACTGGACTTTGATCAACATCTAATGTTACTGCTTACAGAAGGCAAGTTCTTTTTTAATATATTATTCTTCCCTCTAACTCCCACCACCCCCCCCCCCCCCCCCCCCCGCTACTATCTCATGAGGTGTAGCTAGTTTAAAATCACCCCTGTCCCACTCTTTCTTCCGGTGTAACGGGGAACCTTCTGCAATCTTCATCGCCTCTTTTCGAATGAGACAATTAAAAAGCTTATTTACTTTGACCACACACCGCGTGCTTGATGCCTAAAAATGTACTTACAAGACTTCGAAATAATTGACCACTTTGGGACGTGGTGCCTCGGGAAAATACCCACCCCCCACCCTCCCACAGGGGTTCCATTTGGATTTGGGTGGCGTCTAAAATCAAACGTAAGGCTGCTAAAATTGTACAAAAACTGTGTCATTTCCACGAAATTCGAATCCGTATGAAATTACGACTGCATTCTATGAAAATACTCAGATAGCATTGCGTTAAGAATGAAATTAAGTTCCAAAAGCTTTTTTTTCTTAAAACAAACCTGGGAAACTGAAATAAAATGAAAACAATAAACACGTGTTTCAGGAAAACTGTCTGTGTCCATCCTGTTGGAAATATGTTCCCATTTTGGTTAATTACTTGGAATATTACATTGTGGTTGTTGGAAAGTCGCCTGTTCTAGGCTAACACTTGGTTACATTCTGTAGTTTGCCCTGCTCCTGTTGGAGGAATGTCAACGGCAGCTTTCAAGAAAGTCTGCTTCTGACAGGTTAATAAAAGCGGTTGCTGTCTTTCAGTCTCTTCGTGCACCGATCGGAGTTTATCGCCTGATATCCAAGATCAGAATTTAGACGATACAAAGGAAACGGACAACTCGACCTCATCAGACAAAGAGACCCAGAACAACGAGAACGAAGAGCAGAGTATGGGCACCAAGCGGAGAGGACCCCGGACCACGATTAAAGCCAAGCAGTTAGAAACGTTAAAGGCCGCTTTCGCCGCTACCCCGAAGCCCACCCGACATATACGGGAGCAGCTGGCTCAAGAAACAGGCCTCAACATGCGGGTTATTCAGGTACCGTCACCTCCTTGTTACCCCAGTTGGTCTGCAACTGAGGAGCGCTTTCAGCTTCATCCACTGCGCTCAGAAAGTGTACGCTTCATATGTTTCAGCAAAGGTGCAAGTATTACGAGTCAGATATATTCTAGTTGACAATGTGGTTCACAGGGAAGTACATTTAATCCACAAAGTCTTCGCGTTTCATTTATCCCACGGGATTATATATATAGTATATATAAGAATATATGTATTCCCCAAGACTTCACGTTAAACCTGGAATATCTAATGGACGGCCGGGTCCGCGCCCGGTTGCCACCGGGAGGGGTATGGGCACTTTATGGGCACGGAGCTCAATGCCCGGGCGAAATTTTCGCACACGAACAACCAATCTGACGCTTTGGCTTTTATCCAGTGCATTTCCAACCTGCGCTTTATAAAATCTACCCCGGTGCGATCGATTGTCCCTGAACGTTAATCTTTCAGGATAGGTCTGAATTATGTTATCAGATTTCCATTAGCGAATTGTTAAGTTTTGCCTTTGTTTTCAAACGGTTTTGGCTCTATCCCGGTTAAATCGTTTCATGTAATGTCAATATTCTCCACACTATGGGGGTGGGGGGGGCTGGTGAGAGAAAGGTGCCGGTTTCATGACCAGAGACACAGGAACAAAGTGATTTTGTGGAGTTTGTCCTTCGTTCCTTAGATAGGTAGCTGTTCTTAAACGCACTTGCTGTATTTGCATTAAAGAGCGGGCCATTGTTTTGGCAGGTCTGGTTTCAGAACAGGAGGTCCAAGGAGAGAAGGATGAAGCAGTTGAGTGCTCTGGGAGCACGGCGGCACGCTTTCTTCCGAAGTCCCAGGCGCATGCGTCCTCTGGGAGGGCGCCTGGACGAATCGGAAATGATGGGCTCTGCTCCCTACAATTATTATGGAGGTACTCTCAACCACATTTCAACTTCCGAAAGAGTTTGGCTGCGGTCAAAGTGGCGGTGTCCGGGCGAGCCGTTTGTGCCAGTTCCTCAATATCACCCTCTCCTCATCTGTGTCCCCGGGAATGAGGACTCTGCGGCATTAATTTGCCACAACGCCCCGTCCTTTTTTTTTGCCATCAAGCCAGCAGAAAGCACTGGGGGCAGGTTCTTGTGTTTAACCGCCTGCCTGCAAAGGAGGCGTCTGTCTGCTTTCCAACGGGTGGCTCACGCTCATGGCTCGGGGTTCCTTAGATTCAGCTCAAAAGCAATAAGGCGAAGAAGGCGGAAGAGTTTCAGTGTCTCTTAGTCCAAAATACCACAGTTTTCATGCATTTAGAAAGAGCCCGTTACATTACAAGTCCCCATTAGGGACTGTGCAGCTCCGATTTGTGTTTGTCACTTTGTGTTGCGTGAACCGTTTATTTGTGTAATGATCCCCTCCCTTCCACCCTCCACCCCCTCCCCCGCTGACAGTTTTTCTTTGAAGCCCCTTTGCTATTATCTAAATGTTCCACTGGAACCTTTGCGCAACCCGTTTTACGAAATGAACATTGCTCCAGATATTGTACGCTTGCTAACCGCGTATGACGAGAATGGTCTAAAGGTGCTCGGTTGCTATGACTTTCTCACTCGTTTTGTGGCATCTGCACGGGTATTATTGAGTGAATGATCGCAGCCTGTTGAGCTCTTTAATCTCCACCTCCACCCCCCACCCCCCCACCCCGCCTCCCAACCCCCGTAAGAGATTCCGCTCCGGCGCTGGCCAAGTTGCGCCCCATAAAGCAATGCATTGTGATGAAGCTGTCTTTTTGAAGAGAAGCCTGGCCCATTCAACGTGCACTTTCTCTTGTGTTTCCGCGAACAAAGCTACAGCTGCAGTCTTTTGTCGGATATTCACCCAGGATTTGTTCCAATTACCTCGAACTCTTGGAGCATATGGAGGGTCACTTGCAGAGCGCCACGACTCTGCTCCTTGCCGTTTGCTGCAGCCTTCTGCTTCCAAATGTAAAGCAGCACCTTCACTCAATTAAACCCTTCACATTTTTAGCGAATTAAATATAGTAATTGTTATCTGAGTATATTCTTACCCATATACACATGATAAGAAGCCCCTGAATGTACCTAGCGCTAACGACAGTATTAATACGAGATAAATGTCGACTGTAAGGGCTTTGCTTCCATTGCCGTGCCCAATCGAATAATGTGTCAGTCCTTTCTAAATCCATATTTAAAGCATGTATACTGAATGATAGGTTAGAATTCGTTTCCAATTGCTAAACGGCCTGAGTGTTAAGAATCCAATGGCTGGAATGTATCGCGCTATATTCATATAAAACCTTATTACCACAAGCAATAGCTCATACCCAATTGTACTTGCAGATCAGTAATGACTTTATAGTTACTTTGAGTTAGCAGGAATATTATCGTCACCCCTACAAAGCTAAACACATAACAGGAGCAGACATTATTTTCTTTTTCTTTGCGGGATGTCAGAAAATGTAGCTGTCAAACCAACAAAGGGACAGCAACAGGTTCGAAATCAGAGTTCTGCAGTTGCGCTGTCCTGACTGAACGCGTTTAGATACGTTTGGAATCCACTGTAAATAGACACAAGACATCCATGGACAGACAGTATATTTTATAGGTGCGCATCTGATTTCACGCAAACTAACACTTCGCCAAACCAATGTAGCCTTTATTGCAAGGTTGGTGCAGGAAATCAGTTAAGCAGGAAGTAGTCAATCGTGTAAGTTCCTGTCTTTCGCCATTTACCAATAATTGTAATCGTCCCTTCTAAAATGATACGTTTATATTACCGACAACGTTATTTGCTTCGACAATTTCTAACTATCCGTCCTTTTTTTTAAATAAAGAACTTCTCTTGTAACGGGACAGTGAACGGATTTACGTGACAAACACCTTAGTTCAAAATGATAATTATAGTGAATAAATAGAAACATCGCAAATCACGTTTGTTCTAGCTGTGTGTGAATTGGGTCTGAAGAGCAAATTCGAACGTTGTTTTTTTACACTTCGGAGTGTAAATCTGAAAGTCAGAAATGTTGCGTTTTGTCAAAATCACGGAAGAATCGTTTGTAGACTGGGGTTCACAATGGATGGCCTTGAATTTGAAGGTCTTTAAGGTTTTCAAAGAAGCCAGTGCCATGTTTCTGAGCGGCATGTGCGTGAGTTCAAGATCGCGATCATGAGGTGACCAAACTTACCCCTCCCTCTATCCTTAGGCCCTTCGTGCCTCTCTCTTTTCTGTCATAGAGGGGTGACATTTTCTGCCACCCCTCTAATCCATCGTCTCCCTCCTTCCCTCTCTCTACTTTTTTCCTGCTCCCCCCACCCCATCCACACCCTACACCTCCCTTTCACCAAACCAGTCCTCTCCCTAAATCCTACTCTCACCAACATGGATCGGAAGCAACAAGTCTTTACTGGAGGACTCAATCACACCAGTTCCATTTAACTTCTGGCAATACTTTAAACGGAATGCAACTTTTATTACATTTAGATTAACAAAGCTTGTTGCATTTCTTAACTGAACTATTCAAGAGTACTGATGTTGCTAAAACGCGAACTGAAATTTTGTTTTTGGAAGAATCCGACAGAAATGAGTTGAACTCCAGTCTGCCTGCAACGCTGACCACGTTTCTCTTTATTATGTTCCACGCAGATTATCAAGGAGACTACTACGGCCCAACTGCAAATTATGACTTTTTCCCGCATGGCCCACCGTCCTCTCAAGCACACTCGCCGGCAGATTCAGGCTATATGCAGTCCTCAGGGCCTGGGGCGACTTCACTCGGAGTTCTGGAACCTCCGCTATCCGCCCACCACCCTCCTGCTCTCGGTGGCAGCGAAAACCAAAGGTACACGGACATGATTTCCCACCCTGACACCCCAAGCCCTGAGCCCGGGATGACCGGGCCGTTGCACCCGATCCCGGGCGAAGTGTTCAGCGGAGGACCCAGCCCGCCCTTCTCCATGTCAAGCAACAGCGGCTACAGCGGGCCGCTCTCACATCCGAGTCAGGAGCTGAATGAGACTGCGGTCTGGTGAGAAACTCGAGGCGGCTCAACCAAACAGCAATGAGCACTGCGGCTCTGGCTTGCAGCTTCCTGCACTTGCGGCTCTCTCCAAACGCTTTCTCACAACCACGGGGGCAGTAAAAGCTGGGGACATCTCCTCTCCCCTCTCTTCCCCTTTCCCTCCCTCTCCCCGGCTCCCCTTTCCTCCGCTCCTTCACTCGCGTCTCTATCCCTAGCCCTATCGTCCCTCTCTCTCCCATTTTCTCTCACCCCTCTAACCCATCCTCTCCCTCCTCCTCACTGTCTACTTTTGTCCCACTCCCCCTTCCCTGTCACCAACCCACTCCTTTCCCTAAATCCCATACTCCGCTACCCTCCCTCATCCCTTCCCTCCCTCCCTCAAGCCTTCCCTTCTCCCTCCTCTCACTCTTAACCACTATGTCCCTTCCCCCTTCTCTACCCTTTTTCTTTGTCCACTTCCCCTCCACTCCGTCTCACCCGCCCCAACTTCTCACCCCTTTTTATCTTTCCCTCTTCCTGCTCCATCCCATCCACCTTCCTCCTACCCCTCCACTCGAGCTCCCCTCTTTCTCCTACCCTTCTCCGCACCTTTCTTTCTCCCTTCCCCGCCCCATACCTCTCTATCCCCTACTGTTCTCCTCAGTCGCCTCTCTCCCCTACCCTGTCTCACTAGTCATCTCATCCTTTTCTCTCTCTCAGCCCCTCCCCTCTCCCCATCTTCCTTTCCCATACCCACATGCAAACCCAAGTGACTTCAAAAGCAGGGGAGGAAGTGAGCACCGCGCATGTGTGTGTTGCAGCCAAGATGGCGGCACATCCGGCATGGGCAGGGGCCCCTGGGAGAGGTGCTGTTGGGAAAGCCTGAGCTGCCACGTTGCACCGGCCCGTAGTGAGAATGGGAAGAAGGCACTGGATATGAATAGAGTTCCTGATTCTGTTGTTAATGTGAATAAACGATTGTTTTAGTTTCCTCCCACCATCATCTGACAATCCATGTTTCCATCCGTCATAGAAACTCTGGCATCGATGATGACAATCACTTTTAGTGCTTTGGGTAGTTAGTTCCCATCTCACCCTCTCGGAGAGCCCTACGTGACACCTTTTTAAATTTCTTTAACTGTAAAATGTCACCATTGATGTTAAAAAAAAGTAAAAACTTGAATAAATATCCGTTTTTTACAATCAGCGATTAGAAACCTTTATTTCGGAAATTCTCTATCGTAATTACAAGTCTGTGTGCGCAATAGGATTTCTTATAAATGTGCGCTCATCCATAAATGGGAAAATTCAGAATACCTCAGTGTAACTGGCAGAATTGATAATAGCTTGAAAGATTGTGACTTCTACTGTCATAATGTGCCACCCATAAAGCTAGAAATTAAATATAAATACATTTGATTACAAGATCCAGCAATAATCTCGTCTCCCTCAAGCATTTACTTTATCCACGGACACAAAAATTGCGAGACATTTCAGCGGACATTAGTCATAAAATTAGTTAAACCCTTGGCCGGATATTTATGCAAACTATTGTTTGCAGTTTATATAAAGTCCTTAATAAAGTCCTCTTTACCCATCTCCTTCCCAACTCATTCTGTACTTTATCATAAGGACGGGAGTGCGAGCACGTATTAATCCGGCATAAAACCAATTTATCGCTTTAGGTTGTTAAACATGAATGATTATAGTTTTGTTCCTGTATGTATAAATCTGTGCAGAAACTGCTGCAGAAATTCAGCAGGTCTGGCAGCATCTGTGCAGGGCAAAACACAGTTCCCAAGAAGAATCTCTGAACTCGAAACGTCAGAGCTGTTTCTCTCTCCACAGGTGCTGCTAGACCTGCTGAGTTTCTCCAGCATTTTTCCTTTTAAGTTCAGATCTGCAGCATCCGTAGTATTTTGCCTTTATTTGAATGCCCATATCTATGCATCGAGTAAAAGGATGTTAGAGCCAGCATTTAGGAAATATATGCGGATTGGCCTCAGTTTCCAAGGTAAATTAGTTAAATTTTCCATTAGCCAAATTCAAGACTAACAAGATGAATGGCTGACTGAAATGATGTTGTGATAGAAGCAGTTAAAACCTCGAATATATATATAATATATATATATGCTAACTGGGCACTATGATTCAGCAACCTCTAAGAATGAATGAAACTATTCGATTGTGTTAAATCGTTGCTCGTTCTTCTGAATTGAACACAATTTCATTAAAATCTCATTCTGTATTTTACACGCTCCTGAAGCGCATTTTTGATACACCAGTTAAGAATAAAAATAGATGAAGGACTGAAATATTGGTTTTCTTTTAGCATGGTCTCCAATAAGAGTTCTCTACAGCGTAGATAAAAGTGTCAACCCAGAGCAGACTAATATGAATCTGGGAGCATTATGAGTGAACTGCTGCCCAGTCCCCTTTAAGATGTTATAGTTTTTTGTGTTGTTGTAGATCTATTACCAAACGGAAAAATTGCAAGATATTATATGTAACCAAACGGTAATTTATTAGAACTGGAATAACATAAATGAACATGTGTATGCATTTTGTTATCGCCGAGCAGACTAAGAGGCCTGTTTAAAAATGCAGTTCAGAGGCCAACTGGCAATTGCGCCTTGTTGTCAGCATTATCCTAAACGGTTTTACTGATATTTCCTCACAGGATGTATATTTAATATTGCACGTTGATTTCCTTCAGAACCCAGTTTCTAATTGGCTGCATTCATTGCATGAGTGTTGAAACAGTGTTGGGTTTATCACCAATGAGCCATCAATCAAATGAACCCCAATGGTGTGTACGGAAAGGGAATAAGCGAGAAGCTTTATGAAGACTAATGACTTAAATGTGCATTATCCAAGTGTCGCGCAAAGGATTTAACCCCAAGTTTACACAGGGAACCCCAACCTTGTAATGGTATTCCCCTGACAGTAGAGTGATTTCTGTTAGCTTCTCGGGCAGTTCAGTAAATCTTCTGTTCACCTGAGCTCGAATTAGTCGATTTATGCAAATCTGTTTTGAACAAAACAAGGCTTGTTCCATTAGTGAATTGTCCAAGAACAATAAAAGAAAATGTTTTGGTCACGTTTTGATCTAAAGGCAGAGAGTCGTGCTAACTGCGCGCTTCAAATTCAGAGATGTGCCCTAATATGAAAATCCAATCTGAAATAACTTGTATTACCATTGCTCAACTGGAGCGCTGGTAGTCGAAGACACAGAATAAACACTCGATAAACATTATAGGACAAAACTAAAACGAGTGTTGACACAAACTTCATTGTGTTCCATTTTGTTGGCCGAAATGGTGCCTTACTGAAGAGACAGATTTGAAGTCAGTTTGTCAGTATCTCTCCCACGTTGTAGTCGACAGTCTTAGCAAATGATCAACAAGGTGATGTAGATGGTACCAAGGAAATGATTCTACATTTGATGCTGCTTTGATTGCTTCCCTTCCCTTCGAACCTCACGGTGATTTGTATGTGTGTATGTAGGTTAGAGGTGTGTGTTCATGTGGAAGAGAGTCTGCATATGTGAGCGAGAGAGGGCGTGAGATGAACAGTATGTGAGCGAGTGCACACTGAATATGGTCTGCAGGGTTGTTCTTTACTTCATGTAGAATGTGGTATGCCTTTGTTGTGTAGACTGTGTGTATGTCGAATGTATTTGTACACATCTGAGTCTGTGTATTATGGTCGCACTGGCATGCATGTCGTATACGTACGTGAGCATGTCTGCTATCTGCGCGCTTGCGTGTGTTTTGAAGAGGTACCACACAATTTTTCAAGCTTTCGGTGAAAAATAGCAGGATTCAGTTTTGTCGACTTTCTATAATTAATGACCTCAGTTGTAATAGGATTTTGCAGCCTTTGGCACTGACTGGAAACACCTTTTTGCATAAGATGTAGCATACAATAGGGAGCTGCCTCTTGATTTATGGGTTCCTACTCAGGAATGAATCTCCCGGGTAGCTGGCCAGCAAAATTCATCAGAAGAGACACAGACGCCTTTTGTGTGGATGTGGTTTTTTTCCCCCAGTACCTGAAAATGGATACCTTCTTCGAGTAGAAATGTAAAAGCGAACGTGAAAAACAACAGAATTTGATGGTATTAATGGCAACGCAGTTTATCGCAGTAGGCATTGCAGGCTAATATCTTTAAACAGTAGAAGGTATTCACCTGAGCCTACACTGTCAAGCAGTCGCTTGTGTTTTTTGTTCCAGCTGTTACACCACAAAGCATTAATCAAATGCAAATCCTGAAAGGTCATTTGTAACGCCTAAAGGCTGCTTTAAATTCACCCAATATCCCTACTCTCGGGCTCTGGATAGAACTGTATGGAAAATTACAGCAAATAAAATAATCTTCGCTCCTGCTTGGAGTTCTGTAATTATATTTCCGACGTTTGTCTTCAAATTATATAGGAGTTGATCACAAATTGAAAACAAAAACAACTCCGCCCTTCTAGAAACTGTTTGCTTGGTTGAATTTGAAGGTACAGTACGGTGTTGATTTAAGGGAAAATTGATGCTCCACCAATAAGTTAATAGACTGTCAGTATTTCAAATGTCTTTACTATAAAGAGTTTGCTAGATATTTGGGGGAAAGCCACTTTGCAAACTCACGTGAACCTCAACGAAAGTCTACCTGCCTATTCATTAGTTATAAAATGACAGCTTTATATATGTGTGTATGTGCAGACAAATGCATTGCAATGACTTACCTACAAATTGTTGCAATTTTACACACACTTGCGTTTTCAAGTACCATGAATAAGATGATTGGTGATGTGACGATGCCTCTCTCCTAATAGAGCATTTAAATAACTGGTGAAACTGATCTCATAATGTCATGGTTCGTAATTTATAAAATGGCGGGTCAAAATGTTCACGCTTTGTGTTAACAACAAATGGACCAATGGGAGATTTTCTCCTTACTTTTACGCGGGCCATGAAGGCGAAGCTCAATGTGTGTTGATGCAGACAGTCTCTTGCGTTGTCCCTTTTCGGCACTCGTGG